TTTATGTAAATGAGATAAAAAATGAGAGATAGAAAGAGATGACAATGGTTGGATACATATTTGTTTAACACGGGGACTTTCCTTTAAAGAAAACAAAGGTAACGTGATGGAGAGAAGAACAAATGCATGTTTCCTGGTTACCCAACTGGAGGATACACAACTTCTGTGAATCTGTTCTGCATTAATCATAGTTACGTAAGGGAATAGAAGGAAAAGGTTGTTGCTGCTGTTGTTTTGTTTATATTTCGTGGGAGAGGATGCTTGTATTTCGTATTGCGATTGCGAAATATGCCTTCTGGTTCTCGTGTTCCAGTTTTTTTTATGAAATTTTGTCCAGGCCGCGATGCGAACGGCAATTATAATAAACATAATAACAGTATTCATTAATTAATTACTTCTTTTTCTACACATGAATAAATGTGAAGTTAAAGTTGCGCTACTCATAATTATCTGATAATCTTGCGTTAAAGCTATTACGAATTGCTGTAAATTTTCATTAAAATTTCCTACGTATGTAGGTAAAATGAAGTAACATATTTTCCTGCGATTAAATGCAGAAGATTTCACTTACATAAAAAAATATCCCAAATTATGTTTTGATGCGAAATAAATGACAATATTATTTTCGCAGTTTGCATCCCATCTTCTTTTTCTTTGTTGGAAGCATTAATATTTTCATAACTTTCTACATTAAAGTGGGACATTATTTATTTATAAGTCTTCCAAAAAAATGATGAGATGTATTGAATTCGTTAAAACGATCTTGCGAAATCTGTTTGTGGTTATTGAAGCATGTAATTCGGGATGTATAGTTGTTGTGAGATGAAGTTGCGTCAGCGGTAAAAATCCATTTCATATAAAAATTTAATTGGGAATTGCGAGAAATATGTTTTTTTTTATTGAACTCGGTGGAAAATGTCATGACACAATTCAGCTGCACGTGAACAAAGTAAATAAACATTTCCTTTTTATGTGTGTGTATATACAGGTACATTTAACTCTTTTTATATAACATTAATTACATTCGAAATGTGTTTAATCCTTATGCAATAACGGAGAATCGATCACTTTAGAAATGAAGAAACCAATGAGGTTAGGCAAGACGCATCCAACGATCTCACGGAGATTCATTTCGTTTATGAATATTAACTTTTACTTTTTTTTTCTTGCTCGTTTAATAATAGATGTATAGGCTTTAAATCATTATTAACTAGCAATAATGAAGCGTCATTAAATAACAACAAATGTAACATAATTATTACCTTGCAAACATGTACATGGAAATGACGTAACTGTGCATGATTACTTCTTCAATGAATATAGTAAAGAAAACATTTGCACTTCTACTAAATTATTTAAACTTTTAGTCAAAATGTTTATATAGTTATCTATATACTTGCAAAAAAAAGCAAGATATTAATCATTTGCCGTTATAAGTATCAAATAATTAAAAGTTAATCAAAATAAATTCAATTATGGGTTTTTGCTTGATTTCTTCATTGCTCGCTTTAAGTATAAATTATTTGTTACGTCCTACTTAAAGTTCGAATAACTCCAAGAATTATTTATTTTTCTGGACATTTCATGCATTATCATGTATTCAAGGTTTGATTAAATATATTTTATATTGAAAATTGTTGACTCTTCTAATTCAACTTTTAAATATAACGTCATATTTAAAAGAAACATAATTTGACTATATCTATTTGAAAAATAATTATTCAAAAAGTCTTAAGAACATAATCAAAGTTATTTAAATATGATTTGCTTTGATTTAATTAAATATAAACTAGTGTAATTATAAAATAATTGATAAAAATATCATACATTGCTTAGAAATTAAATAATAATGTGTATATTTAAATACTTCATGTTGGATAACATAGATAACGTATGTTAAAATATAGGATATCTGAATAAATATGAAGAAACCATCCATTGAATGCATAAGATGATTAAGGATCATCAAAATAACTATCAATTGGTATAAAATGGATTTCTTATTTTTTAATGCTTCGATTATAATAATTAATTGAATGGTTTCTTCATGTAGTAATTTCAATTATAATGTATATGTTATTGGTTTGTGTTGTTCAATATGCCTATAGTAACTGAGGATTCGCATTTCAATTGAATTGAAATGCTTTGAAAAAAAAAATCTCAATCACGTTTTTATGTGTCTATTTTTATTTGAATCCGGTATCGATTTGAGGGAATACGACAACGTGATTTTTTTATTTCAATGCCAAGTGAAGGATTTGAAGAAGCCTACTATACTATAACAACAATATTTCGCGTGGATTTCAGTTTCAAAACATTTCGTAATGCTTTTAAATGAATATCAAATTAGGTGATGGCATGTACGTGTTGCATAAATTATTCCAACTTATCCTGGTACCTCCATGAAAAGAAAACCGCGCACGGATTGGCGCGATTCGGCTCTCTCATCCGCAACAGTTCTTTCGCTACCAGCTGTGTGTTTAGAAGGGTGGATTGTGTGTCAAGAATGATGATGTGTCTGACGTTCGATTGTCCTGGATTATGTTTCCTTCCAGATCTGGGTCAACTGTTGACCCGAGGCTCGGTCGGTCCTCTTTTACGGTCAGAGAGCCGAAGATGGCCACAGAACGACCCATCGGCCGATAGACAGACGGATAGTCACATCATCACAAATCGATCGATCGAGTTGCATCAGATTATGGCAATTATGTAGACGTATAAGTAATTGGGACCGCCGTGGCCCTGGAATAGTTTCGCATTTTCAAAAGAGGAAACGCTTCGAATAAATTTGCATGTTTTCTATTTCGTTTAGGCATTCCGACCCCGACAAGTTCATTGTCTCGGCCTGAGTTCTAGGTCAATGTTGTGACTAAAAAGTAATCAACCTGCGACGCGTATCGATACATAATCCGCAAGGACATATTTGTTGTGCTGGTTTAGTTTCAAAACCTCACACCTCTTCCGTCTATTAGCGCTTTCCGTGGAAGAAAAACGGCAACCAGTCGCAGAAAGAATGAAAGAAAGAAGAAAAAACGTGCAAAGCACCTGCATATTTTCGAGAATTCTCATTTTGCACGACGACGTGTGCAGCGGGTAATACGTAACGATTGTTTTCGGCGTTGCGCAAGACGGTCTCGTCGATCATTAAAGTCGAGCGCATTCACTTGATGGTCCACATTTTCCTACTGCACTGATGAGAAGCTTCCTTGTTGGTTTACCTAAATGCCAACTACTTTACTAAGGCACAATCGCGCCTGAAATTAAGCGGAGAAGAAAAGAGAATGCAGAAAAAGACAAACACCAGCACGAAATAACAGATTTCAACATTCGAGATTCTTCAAGCTTCCTGGTTTTATTTGTAACATCGCGTACTCTTACTTGCATCCACTAATTATTAACTTAATCCATCATTACTTCACATGATGTGCATTTCGTTTATATTCCAAATACGGCTGCAATCATTATAAAACTTACGCAATACACATGAAAACGTTAATTTGAATTTTCAAAATAATCATTTTATTAATAATAATAAAATTTTTAATATCTGATTTTTTTTCTCTTTACTTATAAAGATGAATACAGTAAAAATATTAATATTATTACTATTTAATTAATCTATTTATTCAGAAAGTAATATCCAATAGAAAATAACATTATTTAATTGCAATAATGATATAAAAATGAAATCTTTAAACCTAATACATAATATTTTATAAGAAACGATATATTTTATTTATATATAATTAAAACATCAATTGATGTTCAATTAACTGACTTTCTAATAATTAACTGCAGATGCAAGTCATTATACACTATCTAAGAATCTTAAAATTTCATCTCTATATAGTTCTTTCTAAAATTCTAGTGCAGTGTTCTTATATTAAATTGTTAGTTTCTTGCTATTACTAATTTATTATACTGTTATTAAACTGAACAGTAACTCCTGTTTACATATTGAATGCCTACTTATAAGTTAATTTGAAATATGTTAAAAGCTTGTCACTAACTTAAGTGACGGACTATTATTGTGCCTTTTCACACCTGAAATGTAGATGACTTGCATATAATATATTTTAACATCTTGTTCCACTAATTTGTTCTTTTCATGTAACAATTTACACAACAAGTATTAACTGTTACATCATGCTTTGCATTTATAATAAAAAGAACTATTTAAAACACTAATATTGTTTTAAAATTCTATAAAGTTAATATTATTTACAGAATTACATATGACGCAATGCTTCTTAGAAAAATAAAATTTCCAATGAATCAAGGTTATATTACACTTCACTGTATTAGTTCATATTTTATAAGCCTGTTTATTTTGTTATGTCAAAATTATATAAAAAGAACTATGATAAAAATTATCCTCAATTTTTTATTTTTTAGTATTCATTATTTGTTGTTTATTTGGGGTAAAGGTCTAAAAACAGAAGAAGGCTTCTGATTTTTTTTTTCTAAATTACTGTTTTTCATATGAGTTTCATTCTATCAAAATATCTAGAACTCTTTAAAAAGTTAATGCTGTTCAGTGGGAAAACTAAATTTAATAAAAGTACATTATTAAAATGATTACAGGTTAAAAAAACTTTGAATTAAAAAATTATATTTTCACCGAGGTGAATTCGAATTTTGTGTATTTAAAGAATATAAAGGAAGATCACTAATTTATTTACTCTTATATGTACATTCTATTACTATAAATCAAAATTTCTCTTCGAAATATGAATGAATATCTATACTTGTCAAAGAAAATCCTTATTTAGATAGCGGTAATTTCAGTTAACATTTCCATCGTGACATTTAAATATTAAACTGAGATGCGAGAGAAGTAAATGTACTCTCGCGAAGCAGTGAAATTCGCCGGGTTTATCCCCACAGGGCTTTTCCTGGTGAGGCGTTCCAAACCTACTTACTTACAAAACCGAAGCAATAAACTTTAACTATTCCATCGAAATGAAATTTCATTTAGCAATGTCTTTCTTTTTCCGCAGATTCAAGATGATGCGCCAACTCGCGCTCCTTATTTTCGGAGCCGCCATGGTTATGGCCCAAAGGAGATTAGCACTTCCAGATCCAAGAAGCTGTGCAAATAGTAAGTTACAGTAAAATCTTAAATTTAATACACAATCAAGGACAAAGCTCATTTCTGATAAACGCACATAATTTTTCTCGATTTGATTTGAAAATGCATAAAACTTTTTTAATAAAACTTATTTTTTATTTGAAAAAAAAAAACTATAATGTTAAATATTACTGTGAGTACAATTTGTACTTCATTAATTAATGTAGTGATTGTTATCCACGCAAATGTCCGTAGATTTCTAAAGATAATGAAGTAGCTATTTGATTAAATATTTAAAACTAAGAAGAGGTATTTTCTCTTCGTACACTTGTTATTACGTGATTTCATTCTTCTTTAGAAAACCGCCCGTGAGAGACTTAATTGTTCGTGTGGAAAGTGAAACTCATTTATGGATTGAACGAGACATAAGCTATGTAACGAAATCAAGTGTTTCGGTGTTTTCACACGTGATTTAACTCAATTAAATCGTCGAAGTTTGAGGGCATTGAGCAACAGAGTTTTTGGTCGTAATGAGCGATGCTGAAAAATGCTAAGTGATAGAATTGTTAAATTTAATGTTACCGTGTTAAAAAAACTTTCTAAGTAATTTCAATACGTTCGGGACACGTTTGGAATACGTTAAACAATCAATAAAATTACAATAGAAAGTTGCATGCATTTCTTCTTCAATTTCGTAAAATAAATGTTTCCATTAGTTTCTCGTATAGATTTTTTTATATTCAGAATAAACGTAATAAAAATAATAAAAGTAACTCCATCTATCCATTCACTTGATACTAAAATTGATGTACACGGATTACATCTTTATTTGCATTTTCAATTAAAATATTTCAATAGGTAACATCGATATAGGAATAATAAAAGTAACTCCATCTTTCCATTCACTTATACTGATGTACAAGGATTACACCTCAATTTGCATTTTCAATTTAAATGTTTCTTATTTCGAGAATCATTAAAGTAACTCCATCTATCCATTCACTTTATACTAAAATTGATGTACGTGGATTTCGCAATGATATGTGAAGAAATCATTGCTCAAATGCTATCCTTGACATGTGCAATATTTATTACATTTGCGTTCAATTTGCAAATGGCACGATGATCGCCGATGCGCGAAACAATTGGTCAAATTCCATAAATGCCTCGTTTGCAAAATACTTCAATTAGCATATCGTTTAGAAATGAATAAAATTTGCGTTAACGATGCATTGAACCTCTTCTATTTTTTTTAAGGGGTACGTCATGCGACCTACAGGGATGCCCGTGGTGTCACCCATTCTTACTTCTTCAGTTGGGAACATCAAGCTACCAAGGGATTGGACGTAGATTGGTTAGATGCTCGTAACATCTGCAGGAGACATTGCATGGATGCCGTGTCTTTGGAGACACCGCAGGAGAACGAATTCGTGAAGCAGCGCATCGCCAGAGGAAACGTGCGCTACATCTGGACTTCCGGCAGGAAATGTAACTTCGCAGGATGCGACAGGGCCGATCTTCAACCAGCCAACATCAACGGATGGTTCTGGTCCGGATCCGGAGCCAAGATTGGACCAACCACCCAAAGGAACACCGGCGATTGGAGCCACACCGGAGGATATGGACAACAACAACCTGATAACAGAGAAGCCGCTCAGGTAAAGTGCATTATTTGAATAAAAAAAAAACTTAAATTCAATCCCATTTCCGCTTCGCACAAAAAAAATATTTGAACTTGACTAACAGTCACTGACCTAGAGATCTTATAAAACAGGTTTTTTTTAATTTAACAAATTTAAACTGTTATACGCCTGCGGTTTTTTCTCCGTCGTTCCGATGCTTGCCGATCATTGCACCCCAAATCCATGACTAATCCATTTTTATAATTTGATTTCTATGTTACTACTTTTTTTAGGGCAATGATGAATCTTGCTTATCCATTTTGAACAACTTCTACAATGACGGACTCAAATGGCACGATGTCGCTTGTCACCACGTCAAGCCTTTCGTCTGCGAAGACAGCGAGGAACTCTTGAACTTCGTTGCTAACCGCAACCCAGGAATCCGTCTATAAATCATCAACTCCGAATCATCTGAAGAAGAGCAAATTAATAATGATTAGGATTAAGTTTGTGGCATTTTTTTATACATATATTTATTTCCGCATGTGAATAATTCGCTTCAATCTACGTCTTTCTTCTGATTTTTTTTTCTTGTATAGAGTAGAAGAATATTGGATATAAAAAAAAGATTATATGAAATTATGTACCTCTCATATTATTTTATAACTTAAATTATATTTAAATATATTATTTTTATTTATAACTCTTGCCTTGTTCATTTTATTGCCCACTTTTGTGCATTTTGATGACGATCCAAGTCAATCTAAAAATATAGCCTCATTCTAAGAATAAAGTTTCTGAAGCAGGTGGTTTTCCATTTTGCAGTCGCGTCTCAACATTTTCAATTGTTGAAAATATATACAGATTTTTAAAATATTTATTAGACAAAATATTCATCATCAATGAAAATATCAAAACGCTAAATTTGTCAAACACATTTTCTAGCTTAAAATTGAGACCAATAACATTATTATTCTTCATAAATTAGCTTTTTTTAGGCAAAAAGTTATTGTTTTTTATAATACATACTTATTTATTTCTATATTTTTACACATATATTGAGTAAACATTGACTAAATACTTATTTTCATTTATTTAAACATATTTATTGGTTATAATTAATTTATAATCAAACAATAATTATGGAAATAACAAAAAAAATATAGATTTTTATCACTGTCTAATTATATTTCAATCAAAAAGTAAAACTTATAGAAATGCTATGAACAGTTATTATCTTTCAAGATAAATTTATCATCCCATTGTACATTTCTTTAAAATATTACAAACAAAAATATATACACTGATAAAATACTGATAAATATATTTATAGTCATTAAATACTGCTATATAAATGTAAATACTTGCGGTAATTGTATATGTGCATACGAATTGTTATCTAATATTCACTCATTCAAGCATGATAATTTAAATTCCTTACATATAAGTAAGTTTATTAAACTGTGGATCTTCAAGGATGGATTTTATTTTAAAATTTAATAATTACATGAAGCGAAGCGTTTCCAATCCATTATATTTTCAAAGTCGAAGAAGTGGAAATAAAATTAAATGTTAAGGTTAATAAATTTACTTACAAATATGTATTTGTATTAAGTTTTTACTTTGTTATTTCTGTGAATTAAATATTTCTCAATTATTTTTGACAATATTTTCTTCACAAATAATTTAATTGTAAATAGTAATTAACAAACAATAATTATAGTTTTCGTTGTTGATAGCAAACGTACAGTTTTTATATACCACCTTTTGAACATGCCTAGAAAATTTACATTTACCTTTAATTTGGTTGGTTTGTCAATGGATACCATTCGATGTTGATTCAGTTATCTGAAAGAGTTAAATCAATAGATAATCTTAATTTTTGTTTAAAATGTTGAATTTATTGTAAATTATCCTTTAATTAACCCTTTGCATTTGGATTTTGTTAAAACATTTTAACACTTTGGAGTTTATTGTTTTGTATAAATCGTGATAAGGTTTTGATGTTGTGTATATCACTAGAAAGTAGTATTTTTAAACATGATAGTTAATTGTGATAACAACTTGTCAAGTTTATCTCTAGAAACTAATTTTAAATTACATTTTATCGTTTGATTTCTTGAGACTGGCTTGCAAATTGGATATTCGGCCACATTCGCCGATTTTCTTGCTGCGACTCTGAGAACCTGGATAAATTAAAATTGGTAATTACCCTAATTGGTAATCGATAATAGAAGATTATTGATTTCTATCTATTTATTATACAGAAACGATTTTGAATCGATTGCAAACAGTTGAATAAACTAATTATTTCGAATGTGACGCTAGTAAAATAAGATAAAAATCTTAATTTCAATAGATATATAGTATTCTTCTCTTAATGACAGATTGATATAAAATTCTTCATTCCTTGTATTCCAGTTACGGTAAAAATAAGTAATTACATTAATTTTTAAGCACATATAATAACAGATGGTTCTACTTTTCTTTTTTTCACTAGTACCTATTCTAAATCTCTTAAATGACCATCGGCCACAGGTTCCATCTATCTTTTGTGTGTTGGTTTTGGTTAATTTAGTGTTCAAATGTCCTTGGCCCAATAAGTTTTGAATAAGCTTAAATAAGTTATAATACAATACACTCACTTAGAGCATTTATGAAATGATGTTTGTTTTGTACAATGTAAATAAAGCTTACCGAAATATTTCTAAATTTACACTTGAGTACATTTATATTTACATCTACACCATAGTAGCTGTTTTTATTTTCCATTTTCCATTTTTAAATATATATTATTTAAAAAAAAATTTCTACAAAATCCTGCCAATTGTAAATATTACATTATTTACAATAGCTTCCATTTCAAGTTCATATCTTGTAAATGAAGAAAAAAGCAAAGTTAAATTTACTTTATTTATTATTCTTGAGTGTGTATGGACTATAAATAGTTTGGATTACCTCCAAAGCTTTTGCAAGCCGCTTTACGTGCTGCACAATAATATTGCATGTCAACAGAATATGCAAATGTTCTATTTTTGAATATTTAGTAGTGAAATTATAAGATAGAGATGACGGTTAAATATTTAAATTTCTTCGCGACGTTAAAATCTGTGTCAAATCATTAAAATAAAAAATGCTAAATGGTGTTAATTATATACTTCCTATTCGTTTTTGTCTGTTTGACACGAATAAATAATAAATTTTCGAGAATATATTTTTTATTGCATTACGACTTGTATTTATTAAACGAATAAAACATCTTTAAATAAATAAATATGTGGTTATTATTTTATTAAAATTAAGTAGAAATGTAAACGTAATTTTAGTAAATTATACAAAAGTTAACAATGAAATGTAATCTCATGCAATTCTGCTAAAGAATTTATCTTGATTTACGTGTTTATTTAATAAGTATTCTGCGTCATTTCTAATGTAAACAACTATGAGAAAAACTTGTGTTTGTTATTGTTACAAGATGTATAATTTAGCAATCAATACAACTATAATTATTTCCGTAAAATATAACTGAGTAATGCATCGAAACATTTAGTAATTTCATGAAAATAATTGGTCACTTAATTGTTTGAAATAATATTGGTATTTTTCTATTTTACCTGAATTGATAATAGGAAATAAAACAAAATTGTTAATAGTCTTGTAGTTTTATTCTTTTGTAAATAAAGTATGACAATTCGTTGCTTTCAATTTTAATAATGTCAATTGTTCTTAATACTAATTCAGATATAAAAAAAGAAATATATTTAATTCTATATTATTTGATTAACATCCCAAATAAATTTGAAGAAGAAATGTAATACTTAAGTTTGATTCTCGTATGTTAAATATACTTTCCTATGAGGTTTTCTTCTGGCTTTGTGAATATTAATAAGTAACTTATCATATAATAAATAAATAAATATATATGTATATATAAAAAATAATAATTGTATCAATTTAAACTTCATAGAAGCATAATCCTCTTAACACAGATCCGCATCCCTCGTCGATAAATTGTATCACAGTCGATTCGCTTTTGTTCTTGTACAGTTTGTTATACATGTACTTGAGGAGGATGGACTCTCCCTTCTCGTATTCGATACAAATCAAGTATTCTTTGTACGCTTCGAATAAAACAGGTACTGGAAAGGTGATCCTCTGAATATCACCGTAGGGTAGATAATTCTCTTGATTCTCATACTGGAAAATCAAATGGGACAAATTCTTCTCGTGTTTCACGTAAATATAAATATTAGCACCTCCGATATAGCTACTCGACCTGACGTGAGCAGGTTGTGATTTCGTTGAAACCGCCACCCCGAATACCAAGCAATCCTTGTTGCAGTACACCGTCGGAGACAGTAATTCGTTTTGATAGATCGGCAAGCACTGGCTGTCTTTCAGCTCCATCCGCAACTTAAATTGAGGCTGTTTCCATTTATCACCGAGCTTATTGTAAATTGACGTCTCGAACGGAATCCCACAATCCATGTACAATTCACGTGACAATTCCACTATGTTTTCTAGCAGGAATATTTGTTCTTTGGACAATGGTTTGAAGATACCGTCGTTATAGAAGAATTTGAACTCCTTAAAGTGCAACTCATCCAGAATTCCGTATTTCTTGAACAGCGAGTATATGTTATCTTTTGTCGACGGTATCCCCTGGATAGCGCACTCCTCCAGACCCCAACTGATGGCCAACATTAAGAGATTTGTAGAATTACCTTTAGCCGCTTTGAGAATCGACAGAAGTGTCGATACGCGCAGATGGTAATTGGAGTAAAGCAGTACACCTTTGGAGTATAACAGGATATCGTCCAAACATTTATCCAACAGCACTTTTTGGTTGTAGAGCATCGCGTACTCGTAACTTAACAGCAAGTTATTAATACTTAAATTATTTTCAATGTAAGTGGTGCAAAGCGCTTGCAGCTCCAGCAGGAAATACTTTTGGCTTACGTAGACGAGATTCCACGCTTCCAGAACAGATTCAATGCACAATTTCTCCGTGTAGATGTATTGAAGGGTTTTGTTAAATATATCCGAGTCGATGTCTGCAATTATCACTTCGTTGGATGCCATATCGCCGTAGAACATGGATTCGAAAACCGGACTGGTACAAGCCAAAAGGAACCGATGAGCCTTAATTTTCTCATCGTCTATGATGAATGTGCAGTCGGACCAGACCTTGCTTTCGAAGAGGTCCAGGTATTTTTCGTTCCGATATTTCGACATCTACGAACAAATAAAAACAATTGGATGAAATGACATTGAATAAACAACTGGAATTGCAACAAACAAACGTAATTAATGTTAATTATGATTCGTTAGTTCCACGAATGGGTAGGTTTTTATGTGTAAATAAATAATGGATGTTGTTGGTCTTGCCTTAGTTAGTGTTAATCCGTACAAGTATTAAAAGTTAGTGTGTGTGGTTAAGTTTCTGGCGCTTCTGTCTCCCTGGACTTACCTTGAAGATGTGTCTATTGCGCGTGCTAGACGACTTGTAATGTAATTGTTTACAGGCTTTATTTCAGCGTATTCGTAATAAAAATATCCTTGAACTCGTGCAAGAGCATTTACCAAGGCCGGAAAGCCGAGAGTAGCGACGATCCGATTGGCTACCGACTGTTTGCGGTACACGCAGCCCGTTCGAATTCAACCAATCGCGCGCGTTATGTAATCGCATAATCTTCGCTCTGCCTCCTTTTTGTCTTCAATTTACAGTTACGGCACCTACATTTCGGTTCATCTGGATGAGATCTCGCGGAACTGGTTCTTCTCTTTGGACAGTATCTGGGACTCCGAGCGGTGGCGGAGGCGACTTTTCGCTCGGCTGCGCGAAAAATCTAATTCTATTCTAGGACTTTACGCACGCTCCTTCCAAACCACAGACATTGCGATGTTGTCGTCATTCCATATTTGTCAGACACATACTTTTTATCCAGATCAAACATTAAACTACTGCATAATTAATCCTGACATATGACTAAGACATATTTCCCATTCAATTTTACAAACTATGTATAACATTTATCATTTTTACAGATTCCTCACCAGTTATTGTTTAAGAAGATCTAAGACATTTCTTATGTTTCGCAAAGTTTCAATCATTCTACTATAGAAGAGCAAGAATTTAAAAGTTTTATTAATTCCATGTTTCAGAAAAAGTGTTTTCCTCTTTTTATTTACATAATTGACTTCTTGTAAATTATATACAATGGAAAATCATGTGATTCATAATTATAAATTACGCTATTCAATCTTTTACCGAGAATGGATTTCTCCAATTTATAATAATTATCGGGTATCCTAATGATCTCTGGAAGCTATTAAAGACATAATAAAAAGGGACTATATCTATACATATTATAAAATAAAAGTATTTAAAAGGTATCTAAAAGGTATTTATTTTTTGACTTCTGAAATAATTGCTATTTACAGTTTAAAAGTAAATTGAGATTACAAATGTAGCTAACATATTAATAATATTTATTTAATGTCCGTGAAGGTGATTACGACAAAAATCATTAAGTGAAATAATTAGTTATTAGTTAGAATTATTTTGAACTGTAATGCAATATATTTTAAAACTGAATATCTTATTGTATACTCATATGTGTAATAGTATAATATATACATGTTTTAAGAGTTTAATGTAATGATCTTTTAAACAATTTCTATTAAAATTATAATAAATTATTTAAATTTTCATGCCATTAACAAATTCTAAACATTTTAAAATCTATGTTTATCGTTATTTTTTAAAATAAATATAGTAAATAGTAAATATAACATTGTATATTTAGTTTATTATATTTAACATTTATTTAAAAAAATAAGTTTTTGAAGAATTCAGACCAGTTCAGACTAAATATTACATCAAATCACCACAATTCTACTAGGGTAGCAATCTATAATTTATAATAATAAATTATGATTTATTATTATATAAGTATAGAATTTTTATGAAATCATGATCAATCATTTCGAACATTGACAACACTGTGTCTTGAGCGCATGGTTGATGCAAGTTTATGCAAGATTGTCTGTGTCAAATGAAGTGTCAAAGATGTTTTTAAAAACAAGTTTTTGCAGTGTCGGTCGTGCTCTGTGGAACAAAAGTACCGTACTGAGGCCTCAATTACCGTTACTAAATCAAACGGTAAGATCAGTAGGTAATATTCCGATAATTTCATTGACCACTGATCTTTTTTTAAATTCCTAACCTCAATTCACTTTCAGCTACGCGAAAGAGATTCTACAGGAAAACCGGTATTCTCCACAGCGGTAGCAATTTCGAGATCACTTTGGATCAGCGCAAATTGAAAACGCCCCGAGGTAATCTGTTTCTCGTTGATAGTGAACCTTTAGCTTTGGCTGTTGCTGCAGAATGGGATGCACAGAAGGAAAATATTGTACAAACTTCCATGCACTTGGTAATCCAATTAGAATTCTTTTTTGATGTAGTATAATAAATTTTGTTGTATTTTAGAGTACTTTGTGCAATACTGTCATCGATAATCCCAACAACTTGAATAAGTTTGATATTGTTCAGTACATGTTAAATTATATTGATACTGATTGTATATTATTTCAATCTGGAGTAAGTTGGTTTTGTAATGAAAAACTAGTCAATATGAAAATACTTAGTGAGTTGCAACTTCTAGGATGAAGATGATTTGTATAAATTGCAAGTGGCTGAATGGGATCCAATAATTCAATGGTTTTGTGATAGATTCAGAGTAGATTTGCATAAAACAAGGAACATTGGTGGACCCTCAGTCAAAGAAGAAACTAAGGCTGTACTTAGTAAATATTTGATGTCTTATAATTTTGCTGCTCTTAATGGTAAGATTAATATTGATTTTATATAAACAAGTATGTAAATCATTCATTCAAAATATGCTAGAACTAGATTGATAGTTATAACTTAATATGAGTATAAAGTTAAATATCATAACCATATTTATTATTTGTTGAATAATTAGTAAGTAATAAGATTAAATCACTGTGAAACTTCTCACAAATTAAGTTTTAAGAGCTCTTTGTATTATAGTAAAACAATTTTATGTAATTATCCTTGTTTTCATAACTGCATAACTTATATTAATTTTTATTTTAGGTTTTGTTTATGGTGTGGATACTTTAAAATCTGTGATTTTAACATGTGCCTGTGTAGAGAAGGTAATCTCTGTTGAAAAGGCTGTTTTGCTCTCAAGGCTTGAAGAAGAATTTCAGGTAAACAATTACTACCAATTGTTCATTATTCTTATTCATTTTTTTACCTTTTAGTTGGGATATTGGGGACGTGTTGAATGGGCCCATGACCTGAGCCAACACGATCTTCAGGCTAGATTAGCATCTACAGCACTATTTATACATTTCAATAGTACCTCAAATAGTATCCAAATAAAGAATGAGATGACAGCGTAAATTAAGTAAAATTTATTTTAGAAAAGAAATAAATATTATTTATTTAGTACCTAGTAGTTTCTGTTGGTTGCTTTTTACCAAGGCTTCGTAAAATTGCATGTACTGCTTTTGACTTTTCGTGAGCATATGCAAACTATCCATTGTCATTCCTTGTTTTTCCAATTCTCGAATTCTCTTACTTGTGGTCTGTACACTGTGCAAGAGGATTTTTGGTACTCTGCATATGTGATACGGTCTGAAGCCTTGCGAGTATAAGAAATCAATGATTTCATCCATCTTCTTCATACTTTTGTTCATCAGTGCTGGCATTTTTACCATCAAACCTTTTGCTTCATCCACACTGCAATCCAATCTTTCAGACAAATATTCTGCTAATGTATAATTTCCTAATATTAGCTTGTTTTCCGAACGCCGTTTAACGTAGCTGAAAAGGAGAAGACAATTAAAACTATTAAAGAATTTGATAGTGAATGTTTACTTTTCAAATATTTCCCTTTTACTTCGGATCATCCACGTCTTTATCTTTTCAATATTATTTTCTTTGACTATGTTGATTCTTTGCTGTATTGTTTTTGGATTATATTTCAAGACCCATAAATCATGCAATATTTCTTCACATGTAACCCCATTTGCTATAAAAATAAATCATATATGTCACAGATAAATATTTATAATCTGAATCAAACCTGTCAATATTTTTGCATTTTCCTCCAGTCTCATTAAATCTATACATATAAGAAACACCTTTGAAACAAAAGCTTCATAGACTTGAGCAGTGTCAGTCTATAAAGAAGAAATAAATTAAAAATTAATTGTGCAATGCTATTTCTTACCCCCAGTATTCTATTAATTGTAACTATTCTTAAATTTAAATTTCGTCGCCTTTCTTCCATACTAGTCATTCTTTCTAAATCTTTCATCTTGATTGTTACTAAAGGAGCTGTTACATGAATATCATGAGGGAGCTTCTTTAGCATTTCAAATCTTTCTTCTAAATTATCTTGAACCAGGATTTCAGGGAATTTGATGCACATCTCATTGGAGACTTTCAATTTTTGGCAAATATCATAATTAGCTTTCATTGTCATACCATTAACTTCACATAATTTCTTATTCTTCAGCACTAAGTCCAAGGCTGTGTACCTTCGAATACCTTAAATAATAAATATAAATTACATTATAATACTAACATAAACTACTTTACCCAATAGTTCCTCAAGTTTATTAACTGCATGTCTCTTTCCACATTTAAAGTCATTGGTGAATCTTTCATTACTCTTTTGTTTATAAACTACACTAACCACTGTCCCATATTGACTTTTAACATGCATAAAACTTAACAAGTTATCTCTTAATATTTTCCGTAGAATATACATTCCCATTTTTACCATAAAACATTTAAATAAATTCCTAGTATTTTATATTCTACACATACAGACATATTTTCAAAGAATAACAATAAAAGTTAGGTTAAGTGATGGAATTCCAAACATGTAATTTTAATAAAATGGCTTATTTTAACTATCAAAAACATTACATTTTATAATGTTTCAAGATATATTTACAATTGATATCTGTTTTTAGATTTTACTAATTTTATTATACCCTAGAGTTAATCTAATCTTATGCCACTTGGCATAATTTGGCATATATTATTAGGTTATGTACAAATATTATTGTTCAATACTTTTTGAATAAACTGAAAAAATGTCTGAAGAAATTGATATATTAAGAGCAATTGAACAAGATGGTAAGAGTGTAACATGATAATAATTACGTATTATTTAAAATTATATTTTGTAGATTTTTATAAACCATTTCTACATTCAGCTGCCAAAAGCAGTTTAAATAAAAGTTTGAGTATTACTGAACAAGTTACTAAACTTGGTGAAGGCATTGAATTGCTGACAAAAGAGTTGCAGAAACAGGTTCTTGAAAAACATGATGATTTGCTGAAGCAAGCAAATCATGCTACTAAGTTGGAAAATGTTTTGAACACTATGAATAATCATGTAGAGAATCTCTTTGCTAATGCAGAACGATTAAAGACACAAGTAAGGATTGAATTTCTTATAAGCTTAGATCTACAGCTCATATTCTTTACAGATTGCTGGTCCTTATGAGGCCTTGGAAAGTCATACTAAAGTGTTATCCAGGTTACATTTGGCTAGTCATATATTAAGGCAAGTTAGCAGGATTCAACAATTGAGTAAAAGGTTGAGTAATACTAGTGATCCAGTTAGAAAAGCCACAATTTTACAGGAGCTGGGTTTGTTTAGGAAGCTAATCTTACAATATTTTTATGTTCATTGGTTGTGTTTTAGAACAATTGGCTTCAGATTCTGACTTAGTTGATGTTGATGCTGCTACTTTAGCTTTGAGAAATGTTAGATCAGAGCAACAAAAGGTTGTTAAACTTGCAAACAGTTTGTTAACACAAGGTGTGATTAATGAGAATTCTGCCCAAACCTCAACAGCCCTTCAAGTAAATAATTTTTATAACATTTTCAATTATCTTATGTTTTAAACATTTCCAGATATTTTCTAATTTGGGAACCCTAAAATCAGCTATAGAGAATGTTGTATCTATTGCTGCTGAGGAATGCAGAGAAAGCTTGAAAACCACATTTGATGCTAGGGTTAATGTTGATAGTTTAGCAAACAAAAAGGCAGGTCCTGGTAGGGCAAATTTGACATCTTCACAAGGTTTTAGAATTAGGATTTGGGCGGATTTAGAGAAGGCTTTTTCTGAGGAGATTTACCAGCAATGCAAACAGGTGAGTAAATTCAAGAAGTCAATGGTTTATACAATTTGTTATTTTGTAGATTAAATTTCTTCAAATTAGCCTCACGAGTATGCACTATGATATGCCCGATGTTGCCTTAAACTTTTGGAATTCTCTAGGAGACATAATTACGAGTGAAATAAAGAATGGATCCGCCTCGGTGCAGCAAATGTTGGAAGAAGACTACCCGAAGTTGCTTAAGTGCTATTATGATATGATGCAAAAGTTGAACTATGATAAATTCAATTACTCGAGGAGTATTTTGGAGAAATGCGAGAATGCATACTTAACCAATTCCTGGACGCGTTTGTTGGAGCCTACGCAAAGCATGTTTGTGCAAGAAAACGCAGCTCCCAGTCACGATCAAATAGATTCTTTAATTAGAAATATTACTAGGTACATTGTTGTGTAAATATGAATATTCTTTAATATAATATATATATTTGCAGTGAAATCAGTGTTGCTTTAGTTGAAGAAACTTTGGTGGAAAAAATCGCGAAGAATGTTACCAAATGTATCAAGTTATATGCAGTTAAAACGGAACAACTTTTGGCTACTGGCCCAGATGCATCTCAAGTTATAGGTAAAGTTATATCAATAAAGGAAAGGTGGCAGTCTTCACAATGTGTTTTATAGGAGGGGCCCCAAACGGTGGTCAACAGTTAAATGTCCAATTAGGGAACGCTATGTACTACCTACAAATCCAAATACAACGAATGCTTATTAACATGAAAGAGAGCTTAACGCAGACCAGCATTGGTATTATTAATGACAGTCTGTTAGTTTTGGATAATTTAACAGTCGCTATTTTACAACCTTTGATTGGTATTATTCAATTAATTTGTTTAAATACAAAACAATAATAAGATATTATTTTAGCGTCAATAAATAGCACGATTGAAACGATCTTGGTTACAATACATTTAGAGACCGATTGGAATAAGTTGCAATCGACAAATCGGACCAACATTCCATGCAGTCCATATATGAGAGAACTAATTCAATTCATAAGTCGCGTTTTTCCAACGTATTTAGCGCGATTTGATAACAAGGAAATTCTGAGTACTAAGTAAGTTTAAAATTTTTAATTATATAATATGATATTTGAATTAAACTATTTCCTTAAATGGAATTGATTCGTATATTACATTCAAGGCAGATTTAATTAAGTTTAATGTCTTGCAGATGCAGTGATATTGCATTGAGATGCATCGAGTTGTTAGTACGCCACGCTTCGATTCTACGACCGATTTCGCAAGGAGGTCGTGCTAGATTGCAGTCAGATTTCAACCATTTGGAGCAGTCATTGAAATTGCTTTGCCCATACTTGACTGACCTAGGAAGACCATACAGGCTATTCAAATCTATGGCCACTTTAGTGGCACTAACACCTCAAGAGATCGTCGCTAGTCAAGAAGACGGAAGTTCCGTACCTCACAGTACTGTTCTACTTTTACTTTTCTCATTCGCAAGTTTAGATTTAGCCAGTCCTCATCAAAATACCGGTTGGAGTTTACCTAAACTATCTGCGTGGTTAGATGAACATACTTCTGAAGACGAAAGGTATGTTTTTAATTATATATAACAATTGTTGCTATATTGGCTACATTTCAGACTCGATTTAATTGCTGGTGCACTTCAGAAGTACGAAAGTACCATCAGAATGAAGAACTTGACTAACTTTGATTCTGTATATCCAATTATGTCGGAGTTTTTGGCGCAGGCCGTCAAAAAGAACTGAACTTATTTTGATTCCATATAAATTTCAATACAATTTATATATTTTAAATTATATATTTATCACCAATTTTAATAAATAAAATTCTATATTAGCTACATCCTTTTTATATCTTGGTAAAAGCAATAGATGAGAATGAAATAGTGTAAATAAATAAATTATTAAAAAAAAACAAAATTATATTTAAACGTTACACGTATATACAATATGACTAAATGGAATCAATTTGTCTAATTGTATGCAATTAATAAATATTACTTTAATAACACCAGTTATTAATTCTTTCCCTTCTTTTTCGCCTTGTCTTTGTCAGGTAAGAGTCCCATCGATCTTTGATACTCGTCGATTAATTTATCTTGCAGTTCTTGTGAGCACGGTGAATATCTGCTGTAGTCCATTGAGAATTCACCCTTACCTTGGGTGCTGGATCTCAACTCTCCCGCATATCCAAACATATCGTTTAATGGTACTTCCGCGTAGATCGTGCACCAACCCTCGGTGCCGTCACTTCCGGTAACAATTCCGTGTCTTTTGTTTAGTTGCGTAATTAAGGCGCCTTGGAACTCATCGGGGGCAGTAACCTCTACTGCCATGATTGGTTCTAATACTTGCCAAATTCCATTTTCGAACACTAATGGAATATGAATAAATTAATTTTTCGGTATTTTTTCTAAAAAATATATATATTTACCTTCTTTTATTGCTCCTTGTGCAGCCAAGAAGAAGGCCAATTCACTTGAATCTACGATATGATGAGCACCATCAATTAACCTGAATTTCAAACCGGACAATTTATTTCCGGTCAATAAACCCTTTTCAGCCAATGCGTGGTAACCACGCTTCACTCCAGGTACAAACTGTTTTGGTACGTTAGTACCGACTGTTTCATCGGTAAATTCGAGCAATGTATTCTTCTGTGGCGGCAGAGGTTCTAAGATACCACATACCCTAGCAAATTGTCCTTGACCTCCAGATTGTTTCTTATGGAGATAATCAAATTCACAGGGGTTGACCAATGTCTCCCTGAATGCCACCTTTGGTTTTCCCAATACAACTGGGCAATTATACTCGCGTTCCATTCTTTGCGCATAGATTTCCAAATGCAATTCACCCATACCAGATACTATAGTCTCTTTGTTATCGTTATCAAAGTAGAAATGGAAAGTAGGATCTTCCTTAGTGAATCTAGCGACAGCTTTGGAAAAATTGTCACGATCCTTCGAGTTGCTTGGATTGATAGACATGGAAACGACCGGGTCAGGGACGTAAATACTTTCCAATGATAATTCTTGTTTGAGATCTGTGACAAAAGTATCTCCACTAGCACAATCAACTCCAAACAAGGCAAATATATCACCAGCAAACACTTCATTCACATCTACCATAGTATTTGAATGCAATCTGACCAATCTTGATATTCTCACTTTACGTGTCGTACGTGCATTAAATATAGTTTCTCCTTTCTTCAACATACCTTGATAACATCTCATATAAGTCAATTGACCAAACTTGCCAGCTTCCAGTTTAAAAGCTAATGCAACAAATGGATTTACGTCATTCCTTGAAGGATCCAAATCGATTTTGATAGGTTCCTTTCCTGGAGATTCTTTTAAAGCAGTGTTCATTACTTCACCAGGATTTGGCAGATACCTTAAAACTGCATCTAGCAATGGTTGGATTCCTTTGTTCTTCAATGCAGTTCCTACAAGAACAGGAGTGAAAGTCCTTTTCAAGCAGGTCCTCCTCACAGCTTCTTTAATATCATTTTCGCCAATCGCCTTCTCTTCCAAAAACATCTCTCCCAATATTTCATCAGCATTAGAAAGATGCTCAATCAATTCGTGCCTTCTTTCGGAACTCTCTGTACGCATATCTTGAGGAATCTCGTCGTACCTAAGCTCTTCACCATAAGCTCCTTCAAAATAAATAGCTTTCTGTTCGATCAGATCAACGAGACCTTTGCAGTTCGATTCAACTCCAATTGGAAGTTGAATAAAAGCCGCATTGTGGTTCATTTTCGAGCGTAACTGGGATAAAACCCTATAAGGATTAGCTCCCATTCTATCAAGTTTATTTATGAACGCTAAGCACGGTACACTGTAGCGTTTCATTTGACGGTTTACAGTCAAGGACTGACTTTGAACTCCACCCACAGAGCAAAGGACAAGAATAGCTCCATCCAAAACCCTCAAAGCGCGTTCCACCTCAACAGTAAAGTCAACGTGCCCAGGAGTGTCAATAATATTAATGTTATGATCTTTCCAGACTGTGTAAGTAGCAGCAGATTGAATGGTAATGCCCCTTTGTCTTTCCAACTCCATTGAATCCATCACAGCACCTACATTATCTTTTCCTTTAACTTCATGCATCTCTTGGATTCGACCAGTATAGAACAGTATTCGCTCAGTGAGGGTTGTCTTTCCAGAGTCAATATGAGCTGATATACCAATGTTTCTAATTTTATCTATTTGCATATGTTCTGCATATTTCGTTCCATTGGAATTCATACATTTCGAGATCTAAATGAAAAAGGCATGATTTTTATGTAAATGATTTTACTAATAAAACTTACCTCTGATATACTTTTTACGTAACCGGTCAATTTATTGAACCTATGCGGTGACTTGAGAAGATTTAAAATTGTCATCTTAGATGACTGTTATGTAATATATTAATAAAACTATTAAATTGTTTCCAATAGGGTTGCTTATTATCTTTCTAGGTTAGAGCATGTCTGCAATATAGGCAACACTATATGATTGTCACATATTTATTGTTAAGTGCCATCTATTAGAATGCGCTTTGCACGTTAAACTTTTAAAACTACAATTATCTAAAAAATAAATTATAATTGATTATAATGTATATTATATTGTTAATACATACATAAAGACATATTATTTATATTAATATAAAATAATTATTTTGATAATAAATACACAATAAACGAAGTACTTTTTGTTATTAAAAATTATAAATATTTGTTCTTTCTATTATAAAACATGACCGCACATGCCCAAAAACATGTATTTTTGTGTTTCCGGAATTTGAAGTGAATACGTATCACATGTAATAAATAATTTCAGTTAAGAAATGTCTTATTTGCATTTATAATGCAAGAAAATTAGTATCAATTGAATGGAAGTAGATAGAAAAATCTTAAATAATGTAGCGCATAATATTATCGTGTTCAACGCCTATATGGACGTAGATCAATATATAGCGCAGTCGCAACACCGGGAGGTGAAAACTGAGGGAAAGCCTGGTTATTCAGTAGGCAGCAGCGTTCAAGTTTTTCCGGGTTGGGACATCCGCTTTTCCGACCATCGACACTAGATTTTCAGTTTGCACTTGGAAAATAATAGCACAAATTATATAAATCGTGCAAAAGGTTCAACGTTTTCATTCATGTTTTTCGATTTTAACTGAGACAACATAAACATGTCGGCGAAATCAATTAGCAAACTAATCAACGTGTGCGTGAACAAGATCAGACTATTCCGAAACCGAAGGGCCCAATTCAACTACGCACACTTCTGAGACGAATCCGTACGTACACTTCGTAGCAGCTCAAATGAATGGTAAGTCAACAAATATTAGACGCACAAAGGCGCGAAATCTTAATTGACACCAATTAGCGACAACATCTGTTTTTTTAAATTATTGTTATTAACACAAATTTTAAAAAAGCTCAAATTATTACGTCAAAGATTTACTTCCTGTTACTTGATATCGCAGAAAAAACCTCAAATACTTACTTCTACTAATAAACAAAACATTTTTCAGAAAATAATAGCTGTTTCGTTTCGTAAACATTCTGAATTTATTATAAATTGCGATATTAATTTTCTTTTTGTGAAATCATCGACGCCGACGAAATCGCTTTATAATTCGTCCAGCATTGCAAACAATAATTATCTTTCGCGTTAGTTCATGCAGAGGGCAAATTAATAACGTTGAAAATATATTTGGATGTTTCGTATAATAATGCGCTTGCTATTTTAGTTCGAACACAAAAGATCTCGCAAGTCAGCTTCAAGTCCGAGTCATTGAGCCTTTCTAAAATATATTTCCGGAGAAGGTTCCGCAAGGGACATTTACATTTTTTTCCCTGAAAGAACAAAAATAATTATACCGTTTGTACGTTTATTTTAATTTAATATACATTCTCAAATTTATAAATACTATAAAAATTACGCTATTATTTATTCTATAAATTATATTAAAAAACAAACAACAAATAAAGAAATAAAAATTACTATAATTATTGTAACAAAGCTATTTATGAAATAATTATGAATGTAACTAACAACACTATGAAATTTCGGTTGAATACTACTCTCAGACAGACACTCCTATTACTCATTTATGATATGATACTATTTACATGTTTCTTCAGACTACCATTGAAACTGTATATGTTTGGAGGTTTCTCTACTAATTATCTATCGACCGTAAGGTTCATTAGCATGAACACTTGATACTGCAGCAAATTGTAACCGAAAAATGTTTACTTATAAAGTTTACTTAAGAAAAAATAGTTTATATTTTATAATAATTGATAAATATTCCTATTGCAACTAAATTGAAATATACTTATGTGTATATGATAAATGTTTGGAGATGCGATGGATCAATAGGTTGTTTGCCTCTTAATCCTACAGGTCTACATTAAACTTGACTTGACCGTCGCTGCTGTTGACCAACGCCAATTGACGTCGCCCAGTTAGTGCATAAAACACCGAATTTGTTTTATTTCTAAAATCTTTAAATATATTCTCACTTCTTGTAATTATATCTGTATATTATCTTGAGTACATTTAATTATATTTATCTTTAGTACATTTTCGCAATTTTTAATTTGTCAAGTGCAGATAGTGTCACTATCTAATTATAAATGTGGTAATTTTATTTGGAATAATTTGATATTTTTTGATGCTATTATTGATGAAAATTTTGCTTTATAAAATATTTTGAATAATTGTTACATTTTGGATTACACAATCCAAATTCAGTATTTAACATAAGACATAAGAAAAGACAAGAAATATGTAGAACCGCATTTTCGAACCTTTTTACATCGAAAAATGGACTCAAATTTTGGGTGCGTAATATTAAAATATTTTTTTCTATAAATCTCTAAATTTGAAAAAAAAAAAACACAAAAGACTTTCATATAACGTGAGGTATAAACTAAATGTGATCAATTATGCATAAAAATATGGAAACGGAGCAACAGAAAGACATTTTGGTCCACCACCAATAGAGAAAATGCTTCGAGAATGGTCCAAAGGTTCAAAGTTTTCAATAAATCTCTAAATTTGAAGTGTATCTTACCGTTCGGTGCGTCTTATAATCCGAAAAACTGGTAAATACAAATGATAAAATATAAAAAAAATGTATAAAAAATAATAATTATATACAAATTATGAACTCTAGGAAAGTAGAAAATATCTATATAAAAAACCCAAATGCATCAGACCAAAGGGCAAATCGCAGAAGACAAAGGTGGTTTGCTATTTCTTCACTTATTTTATTATTTTTTTATTTTAACATCTTTATTGGTCAAATATTGACCAAACAGCTCTTCTCTTATATTACTTGAATTGTAAGAATATTTCTGAACTTAATATATATTTGAAATTGATAGTTTCTAAAGTTGTGATTCTTCCAGTTTTTAAATGATAAATAATATTACTAGAAAACTTTCGATTGTGATGGGAAAATTAAGCATAGAATGGCGCCATATATCCGTACTAATAATATACCTTACCTTGGCAATTCATTCAGGATCTTTCCTTGTAATAAATCGTATCCGGATGATTTTTTTTAGTATCATTCTGAATGCAATTGTATATGCTAATAAATAAGCAGAACGATATCAAATAACGATTATAATTAATAAGATTTCTTCGATTCATATAGTAAGTTGCAATTTTGCTTTCATTTATATACAATCTGATTGCATCGAACGGTGATCTCTTAGTCATCAGATTTCTTCTCGAAAGAAATTTCTTGATGGATGGATGAATTCTTTTGTTTGCATTTTGTTCTTTTTAACTCACCGGATAGAAGTTGAAATGGAAATATAGTAAATTCCATATTGGTGATAGACGCTCCATTTACTTTTACGTAAATACGAACAAAGATATTTCATCGCAATGAGTATAATTTTCTGCTGAAATTAAATTTATTGTTCGTGGAAACTTTACAGAAGTTTCAAATTTACATTATATCATTTATAACTTTTAACTTTTGTAATGTTTCGACTTTATTAACATTTCAGAAAATTAATTTAGACAAAATGTGGTTAATAACTGGATATATGGGTTTTTATTTTATACTTTGATTTGTCTGAAATTTTTTATTTTTAATACACAATGAATAACGATGCGATACTTCGTTAATCAAAACATCGTTTTAGAGGTAATGTTAATTGTATATAATATTTATATTTAACGATATGGAATATTAATTATTTATTTGTTAAATAATGTAAGATATATTATATATATTATATATATTGAATAAAATCAGCTATAATCAATAAAATATTATTGTTTCTCTTTAAATATCAACAAACCGCGATATTTATCAATGAATATTAAAGATTTTGTTATTTTAATTACTTTACTTATTTAACTAGTTTATATTATTATATTATTATAGTATATAATTATTATTATCATGTCTGTTTAATGGTGGAAAATTGCTAACAGAATTTAACTTGTAACCTACAGACTTTAACCAAAACACATTAAAATGTATATACGGACTTTTCCACTAATTCTCTTGATTTATTTTAGTAGTGGCAATTAAATGTCGACGCGTGCCGCATCTAATTTTTGATTATTATTAACAATAAACAATGGCCATTTAAGTCTATCTCAATTAAAATGCAAATAGCAATGTGAATTCGAAAATTACGACTAAATGTCTCAGTGCTGAAGGTTGGATTAATCCAGATCTCTTAAGATTAAGATAAATTGTAATTTCAGACAGTTTACGAGAACACTCACAATTTCCATAAAATGGCCTATTAACTGATATCTACGAATGAAGGATGATTATTAACTCCTTCATTTAATTATGAAGATTTCCACGAACGAAATTACTCATTCATATAATTAATTAGTATTAATGTATCATTATCGTTTAATTTACCATTGACATGCAATTTAGTATACATCAACTGTTTGAAATAATTAATAATAATTTTATTTTTTTCTTGTGATTTTCATGTTGGCGTGTTCGCATTGAGCGGAATAAGGCATTGAACTTAATAATACGTATTTTTAGTGTGTCTGGAAGCGGTCCAAACATCTTTTTGTCTGTTTACAATTTATTGCAACTTTTCTTAAAGTTCTTTCACCGCGCATTGCATTTTCCATTGCCAGGATATAAAACGCGCTTCATCCATTCTGGATGTAAAATTTATTATAGCTACTTCCTGCAAAGTTGAAACGTAAAACAATTTATGAATGAATGAATACTGTAATACATACAAATAATATACAAACTTATATCAAATTTATAAAAGTACAACTTTACTTAATATCTTAAGGTGATTTCAATCGTTACAATATATGTGTGCGAATAGAGCCTTCATATTTCATATACAAATTTATATTTATTTTCAGTTATTTGTGTATTATTTTTAGCTATTATTTGCCGTGTATTTATATATTTATGTGTATTTATTTCTAACACCTTATCTCAATTGGAGTCTATTTAGTTTTAGCTAAATCTAATTTTATTTTCTATATTTTGAGCCATATGCATTGAGTTATCATTCATTACTAATATTATATTCAGCAAATATGATTATTTTCATTCAATTTATCAAACTAATTTATCAAAAAGCAATGGACTAAAAATACAATTTTATAATGTATATGTACATAAGTATCTTGCTTATGTATGATTTTGATAATTTATAAAGATTATTTTAGATATGATAATGATATTTCAAGTAAACAGAAGGCACTCAAACTTGCCATTTAAGAGATATTTCGACTTTTAACTTTTTTGAGTTAAATTTTTCCATGTGAATGAAGATACTTGAAACGATATTGCTAATTAAGAGTTGTCACTCGAATTTATTCTTTGTTTAAACTTTTGGATTCTTACTTTCATTTTTAATAATATTTTTCGACTTTGAAAACCTTTAATCACGGTTATTCTGATGTGTCACATTTCATCATTTTTTAATTTAATTATTGAGTTTCAAGTTGGAAGATGAAACCGCTTGAGGTTGTAATTTATTAGGTCGGCAGAAAGTACTTTCATTTTATTTGGTGTGAAGTAAAACTGTTTCTTTGTATACAAAGAATGAACTTTAATTAATTACATATTTTCTATTTTGACCGAAATATGACCTTTTGTCATCTTTCTGACAACTTCATGTTTCCGGGTTCATAAAACTGCTGGTCCTTATCAGCAAAAAACTGAACCAATTGTGATTTTAGGTAATCATAATCAGTGAAAGTATTACCATTCAAAGAGTTTTCCAAACTTAGAAATAAATAGTAATGTCGAGGCTATATACCAAAGATGTGTGAGGATTTGCATTGTTTTGGTGAAACACGATTTGAGTGCTTCCTCCACTTTCATTAGTTGTTGGCAGTAAACATCTTAATTGATCGTTTGGTTTATTGGATGCAGCTCAAAATACAACCCCTTTGTATCAACCAAATTAGCATGATCTTTTCAAGCAATTCTGGTTTCGATGTGATTTGTGCTAGATCATCACGCTTGGATCATGATCGTTTTTGATTGATTACAATAACATCAATTTCATCCATTTTTCATTACCAATGATGATATGCTTAAAAAAGGTAACAATTATTGTGTTCAGCAAACCATTTTCAATTCATGCAAATATCGAGATTCTTAACGTATCCAAGACAGTTACAGTTGCTGTGTGATATATTTAAAGAAATTGTTTCTTGTATAGTTTTGTCATATTGTCGATGCAATTATGACTTTAATTTGGCCATCATGAACTTCAATTGGTCGAATGTATGTCAACTCTTAGTGAACAATCTCCAAAACGAATATTTTAAGACCCATTCTGATAAGTATATTCTCAACACATATCGCTTTGTGGGCCTTATCAGCTTTCTTGCCTTTAGTAAAATGTTCATTTTCGTACTCCTGCTAAAATTGAGTCAAAACTAACAGTTTCAAACAAAATTACGCGCCATTGTCTTCTAAAGGAAGTTAAAAATGACATCTTTCAAATGATAACAGGAAAACAATCAAAACATTGACAAAAGTCCTTCAAAGTTAAAATATAATTTTCAAATTAAATAATAGATTTTTTTATTGAAGCTTTTTGTTTTGTGATACATATATAAGCACAAAGGCTAGAGTATGCAGATTACTTCATTTGAAACACGGTGATTGGATGTTGACTGCAATGTTGTGGAGGAGATAGCCTTTGCCGAAGACATGTTAATTGAAATTCCAGAGCCCAGCATGTGGAATCGATTGTTACGGGACAAAAAAACAGTTTGTAATTGAGAAAAAGTACGGACAGAATAATTACAATTTAATTTCTAACAGGAAACAATTTGTTTCAGAATAGTTAATGTGTTTAACTGCATTTATGTTATTGTAAAAACGTAAAGAAAAAGTAGTTACTGTGCGGTACACCAATGCATGTAAAGCTATCTATCGTTTACTTATTACGCATAAAATTATCATAATATTATAAAGTAGACACCCACACAACGCCGTTGTTTAATGACCCTTGAACGAAAGGATACGCAGAAAGTTGCATATTTTAGTCACAGCAGGATGTTTATTATCTTATTAAAATATCTTTCGCATTATTAATATGATAACTTTCAAAGCCCTTCCTGGCCGATATATTCAATAGTTCTTCTTATGCTTGATCATCATTGCAAAGCGTATTTAAAATATATGTTATAACATTTTTTTAATTAGTTATAAATATTGCTTCAACTAATTTATAAATCATACTTGTTTGATAATTCTTTTATATCTAATTAATAGATGTACACAATTTATTCATATATAAAATACACCTAATTTATCAAATATTACATTATAAAATATTTTTAATATTAGTTCAAAGATATTGATACTAATTTTTTCTTAATTAAAATTTTATATTTGATTAATAAAATATATTTAAAATTGATATTTAATTATTAAATTAACACATTATTTGCCATTTAAAAATTGATACCACTATAATTTATTATCTATTGTTTTATTTTTATAATTTAGGTAATAAGTCAAAGTTTCCCCATTTTATAAACCAACCGAATTGTGTCCTATTGTTTTAATAGTTCTTTCTAAATCTCGTCGGTCTACGGTTCCTCGCATCAGTAGGTTTGTTGGACAACTTTCAAACACTTGCATATCTTTGTACACATTGCGTTATTATTCCCATCTGATTTTCATCTACACTTTCATTTTTATTTACATCATTCAACGTCCATTCGTCATTCAGTATTAAAAGAATATTTCCACTAATTACACTAGAATTTTTTTATAGTTCTCTATTTTCTCTTAGTTCCCCATGATTTACAGTTTTAGAAACGTAATATTCATTAAAATATATTATTTCCAAATTATTCAACTTGTTTATTGATGTGTAAAACATTTATTTGTAATAAAAACAATTCTAAAAATATGATGTAACTTATTAGATAAGATATAGGTTAAAAATTATACAATTATACCCATAAACTTTATTATTGATATAAAATACTTACAAATTAAAGTAACTATGCTGCTCAGATTACTGTGAATTACTCAATTGGACTAATCTAATCTAAACTACGTTAACCCATTTACTCACATTTTTATGATTCTGAAGTATTAGGTTTCGCAAAAAATACTGTATTAACTCTATGTACACTCAAGAGATATGCATCAGACTTATCATATTTTACTGATTGTATCTATAGTTTTGTTTATCTACATTAAGGTCATTACATCAAAATACACAAAATGTAATGAATTAACGAAATGAGAAACATCGTTGCTATAAACTAAATCAAATTAATTATATCTTAATTAGTCAGTATTTAAATAATATATATTGAACGATTTCCAATTTAATTAATAATTAATTAGCGAAAACTAATCTATCACCGGATACGAAGAACTTTTTGCATAAAAGAAAAAACTATTTAACATAACTTTCGAATGAATATCTTCAAATACATATAATTCTAATAATTTGTTAATTTAATTAATGATATATTTTTCTCTAAATAAATTTACCTAGATTAAACATCTTTATGACCAAATGGGAATAGAACGAAGTCTCGATAAAAGGATAAAAGTAATAAGCAGAATTCACCATTGGGCAAATATGGGGTGCATATGTTTCATTTTCAGTACGTGCTTTTCTCCTGTTTTCTAAAGAAACATATTTATTTTATTACTTACTTTTGTTAGCTTGCAAAGATCGTCAGAATTGCTTTGGTTTGTAATGTTAGAATATTGTATTTTAAATAGAGTATTGAAAGTATTTGCATTTACAATAGAGAATAGTAGAAAGTAAATTCTTACAGTTATTGTAATTAATTAAATACAATATATTTGTATTTCGTACATAATGAAACATTTAGATATACATTTATTGCAGCTTAGATTTAGTAATAAATTAAGTTTGTTTGTAGTATAAAAACGGAATTTATTATTAAACATATATGTTTGTATGTTAATAATAATAGTTTACTCCTGTCTTCTTCTTTGTAATCATGTATAATGTTTGGTATTTCATATCGGGCAATAAATATTGTTGTTAATAAACATTTAATTGCGTAATAAAATTATGTTTTATGAAACCGCTTCGGAAGGCTCATTGAACTGTTATAATGAAATATTTTGTATTCAATTTGATGCAGCGAATATTAGAATGTAAATAAAATAATAGAAGTGCAATCTTATTTTTGGAAGATGCTTCAATAAATTTAGAGAGGAAGGATCAGGTAAACAGTGCCAACTTTTACATTAACTTTGAAATCGAAGGAAAGTCTTCGACGAAATGTTTACGATGAGCAGACGGAGTTTGGTGTCAAGGAATGAGCGCTAAAGAAGTAGGGAGAGGAGTTCTGGTATTAAAACTCCATTAATACATATGAATCGCTTGTTGTTCTTTTCAATAAAAAAAAAGACACGAGGGAATGTGTGCTTCGTATATCTCGTTTGAAGTGTTGGAACAGAGAATATTGTGTGATGTTGTGATATCAAAGTTCAATATTTATCGCTACAATACAAACCGCTCGTTTCACCATTTGAAACGTGCTCCGTAAGTCAGTGTGGTCAGTATATCCTCGACAGTTGTTTACTGCAGTCGTGGTCAATCCTCGTGGGCGTACGTAAATATACAGACGCACGCACCGTGCATTTGTTGTTGTTGTTGAAAAGTTTTCTACATAGAATCAAAGACATTTAATTTAATTTTGGTATTCTTCGTAAAAAAAACAAGGAAAATTCTGCTGCAATTTCCTCAGGATTCGGTTGTGATTTTTGACAGTTCTTGTTTGTTTTTATATCCATACTTCGGGTAAGCTTTATTTGTTTTATTCTATTTTAAATCTTTCCATGGAGACATTTATTTTCCGATTTTCAGATAATTTAATACAATTTCCTTTAAAAATTTGTGCATCTTTTCAGATTCATTTTTTTTTAAGAATATAAATATAATTAAATTAATAAATTTTACTAGCTTAATTTGCAAAGGTCAATATTTTATTAAATACATATTTGTAATTATCCAAATTGACGTTGCATATTTATTTTTAGAAGTTTAAAAAGTAATTGCAGTGACTGTTTTTGTGAAAAAATTAGGTTGGTAATTTTTTTTTGAATAATTTATATCAATTAATTAAAATAAATTGCGTCTAAATATAGAAAATACATTAGCAACAACATGAGTATTGTTTTTCTTTTCAATAAAATATAATAATAAACAATTGTTCGATTAAATTATATTTTTTAATTACATAAATTTAATTTACACATTTTATAAGAATTTTTAAATGTATTCACATCGACTTTTGTTTTCAAAATAAAACTATTTTCAGTAAAGTTAATTTCAACAAAATTTTCTATTTATAACAGATTTGTTAATTAAAATTGTCTTTATATAATTTATATATTTTTTTAAATTAGTTACGTAATTTGTTTAAATGTACGATTAAACCTACATTCTTGGTATTCAACGGAGCGAATAAATATTTAATTTTATTTTTGGCATCCAATTCATCACACTTTACATCATAATATATATTTATAATTTTAAAGCGTATATCAAATCTATTACACGATCTTCACAAAAAGTAAAAGTTTCATCTCAGAACAATTTAATTTACAAATATCTTTAAATTGGTACATTTTTAATTAATCAGTATTAGTAAATCACACGAGAACATCTCTTTTCATAAATATTTTATTATAATAACATTTATATTATAGTAGATTATATTATATACAATATATAAATTATAGAAATTTTTTTTTTTAAATAAATACAAATTTAGTAAAGCATATAAATATGTTTTCTTAAACGTTTTTGATTAACTTTGTTTGAACAATTTGCACTTAGTTTAATATTTTATTGTTCTTAAATCTTATCGCTTTTTAACGATTTTTTTTATGTATTTTTATTGGTTATTTTACGTCAATTGTAATAAAATATATCTTATTATTAATAAACACATACAATTTTATATAAGTTTTCTAAAGTTCATATTTCTCTTTTAACATGCAAATTGCTATCACTTGGTAATATAGATATTCAATGAGTATCAATGAATCTTATTAATAGTCGTTGCTTAATCTTTGATAATGTCCTTTGAAAAACACTATTGCGAAACCTCGCATAGTCCGGGTAATCGGTGATTCTAATATCCCGGATTGTTTGAAACCGGATTAATCGAGGAAAAATGATGATTATTTATGTATAAAATATAATTATGTGTACTGTTTTTTTTTTAAATTTATTAAGAAGATTTTGCTCAATTCAAATTTAGTTCGATCAAAGCCGGACTATGCGAGTACTATACTGTAGTTCATTAAAAAAACAGAAAAAATAAATTACAACGTTATATAATATTCCTTATCAACATCGGCAGTAATCTAATATTATGAAGTTAAACAAGATTTATATGTATGTATTAATTCAAAACATTTTAATAGCTTTCAATTATAGCATTTAGATTTTGTTCGTATAATTTAGGGAGCCAAGGTTTGAATTTAAGAAAGTAAAAATTATGATTTTGTAACTTGTTTTTTTTATCGAGTCTTATTCGAAGGCAATTACTTATAATGATATTAGATTTGTGTTTTGTTTCGTCTCATTGTAATCTAATATATTTTAGTAAATTATCTAATTGGTAATTATAGAATGAAATCTTGCAAGGTAAATCCTTAAATTATTCTTTAAAAGACAACCCTTAGGTTTATTGATCAAATAAAAAAAATAGATTTTTTGATTTGTGATTTTTCGCTGGAGAAGCATGACTACTTAGGTTATTTGTATCAATATTTCTATTATTTCATTTAAGTTAATAATGTAAAAAGAAATCTGAAAAGCATATTTTTATTTCTTTGTGACTTACGCGTTAGAACAATGAGTGTCTTTTTTTTGTTATTTTGGGTACAAATTATTCTTGATATTAATATACAAACTCTCAAATAATTTAATCAGTTTATGTAAACTAAACATGAATTGTGGTGAGATAAGTTGGAATTACACATATTTGAATTGGAGACAAGAACAATATTATATCGTATAAACTACGAAACTTTATCCAGACACCAACGTCGGTTAGGCTGTGGTAATCCCATTTATAATCCAATATACCTAATGCACCATTAAAAGAGATTTAGACGTGCTCTAATTAAATAGAGTGCAGGTATTTTAAATAACGTATTTTGATGTCCGGACACGCGTAAACCGAACGTCTCCGCAGCTAGCAAAGAAAGTAAGGTGTTCTTCAGGTCAATCCTTTCACCCGACACGATTGATTCCCATTTAACACAGTTAATGCCAACGCGTTACGTCATCACCGGATTAAAGCCTTCTTCGGCAGAATCCGATCCCAGCGGATCCGTATATCAATACAAATTTATTCCATCTCTTTTTTTTGCCCTTTATTTTTCCCCACCGTTCCGATTCCTATTTACCATAAGAGCTATTCCAGTAAACCAAATACAATATTCATAAAATACAGCTCGAGCAAATGTTACGCAACGCGCGCACGAGGAACGGTGCAGGAAATATACGTAAACATCGTCTGCGCAAAAAGGAAGTTACATATACAAAAAAAAGTGAACCATCGTCAATGAAATACACGGACAAGTTTAGGAAGTAATTCGTAATATCAACAACCGGTCGGCCTTTTTCATTTGAACAACACGCAGTTTAAATTTGTGTAATTTATTCTCTGTGATACCAGTTACCAAATCTTGCAAGGTTATCCAAACGTTTAATTGTGTTTTTCCTACAAAAAAAAAATGTTACACTTGGACTTCGGGTATGGAAAGGGCCTTGCCTGTGGAGATCGTCTTGTTTACTGTGATCATTGAGATCTTTCTGTAATCATGACCTTCTCGTTATACTCATCTTCATAAAGCTATATATACATAAAATAAAATTGACGAAGAAGAAGGAAAAACTGGTAGTTTCCTTTTTTAAAGCGAAATCGTTGATTGTGCTGGAGTACTTGAATTCTTATTTCTGGAAATAAACGGATTCAAATAGAGCGTGAACGTTAACCTTTTTATGCCGGTGGTATATATCTGGAGAGCAGATTTTTGTTTAAATATTAATGAATCATCCGGATTTATGGTCGCTTTGATGAGGAATCTTCGTATTTCTTTCTTCGTTGAAAAGCGAAATTTATGCGACATAGTCGCATTAGCTCCCTTCAGCAACTGAAGAATGCTTTTAGCACTCGTAGAAAATACACTGTATTCATTATAAGGAAGGAAATAAAAAAGAGGATTATTTAAATTTTATTTACATGGTGTGTATTTCTCCGGTGATTCAATAAAACACGCATTTCTCTCAGGGGTGCTAGATTTTCAACGAAGTCGACATGGAAATTGCTCCACATAAACAGAAACCTATGAACTGTGTCATGTAACATCAGATTTATGTAGAAAAAAGCTGATTTATAAAGACATATTTATAGTAAAATATATTACATATAATACAAACAAAATCTTACTATTTATACCTTTTTGAGAAAACAATTTGAAGAAAATATATAGTAAGTTAATATAATATATATAAATGAATAAAGGTTTTTTAAATTTCATTTACAAGGTGTGTTTGTTAAATTCTTGGAAATTGCTACCAAACGCATTAACTGAAGTATACGAAGTGTATCAAAAACATCAGATAAAATAATAATAAAATATCAAAAATGCAATGCAAAATTATTTTTATATAAAGTATGATGAGACAGAAACAGTATTACATAATTAAAAAATGGGTTTCGTTTAAATACCTGGGAAACGCATTGTTTTTCGATTAATTTACATACATTTTAATTGTCTTCCGCAATTTAGAGGATGATAACAAGGAATTCCATTTCGTTCTCTCACTAAGTAATACAAATTCATTACTCATACCGCATGCGTCGAAATTGAACATCGTGTATTTGAACATAATTACTGTTATCTGCGGCACGTGATGCACATTACATTTTTATTTTCTCCCATTTTCGAATTCGTTTGCATGCGAATAATGTCGTTACTTATTTTGAATATTCGGATCTGTTTTCACGTTTGTATTTTGATTATCTAAAATGTTCAATTTATTGTAAAATATAGAAATTCTTATTGTATCTACATTTTTTTATAAAAAAATAAATATTTGTAATTTACTGATGTAGCTGGGAATAATAATTAAATTGGTGATCGATGCTCAATGCCAACTACTAATATTTCAACTTTATTACTCTCTCTCTAAGAGAATTAGCTAGAACAGGGTTTTAAACTCTGAACTGAAATAACTTATAAAAACATAACTCAAATTCACTAAGAATTACATATATGAATTGTAATTTATTATCAAACATTTTATTTAATTTACTTTCATTTTATGGCTGCAGAGATAATTGGGAATTAATGTTAAAAAAATATAATAATATTGAAGCTTTCATTTCTTCAAGGTTCAATTACAAATTGATTTATACAAATATATAATATAATTTATATATTTCAACATCACGATTTTCGTTAATCCTTCTCGAATAATTCATTTTGCGTCGGATATGTTTTTTTTTGTATTATTTCTATTGAAAATTACATTATGTATACGTTCGAGGCGGTGAACAAAATATGCGAGTAAAAGTATTTTTTCGTTTTAGTTTCTACATTGAAATGGACCACAAGCAGTGTTTTGTTTTTACCCACTCAATGTCAGTAATCCCCATATTTATGGAATGCTAAAATACAAAACACACTATAAATAATGCATGGGTCACATAAAAACAAACAGAAAAAAAGCAGTCCGTTGTATAACGTTTCTATTAAAATGAATACGATTGGCCA